GTACGGGTCTGGTCTGGCCGCCTTGGTCTTGTTTAGTGTTCCCCGTACGAGGGCCGTCCGTGGGGAGCTTGTTCTCGTGGTGTGGCTTGGCGAGGGTGCCTTGTTCGCCTTCCTGTTGTGGTGGTGGATGGTGGGAGATCGTCATGAGAGAGAGAGGTGAGGATGTTGATGGGTTCGGGCTTGGCTTCGCCTGGCTGGATGCTGATGGGGATGGTTGCCGGTGGCCGGTGGCGAGTGGCTGGATGGAGATGGAGTCGTGGGGGGTTTCCGTATGGATGGATTCCCCGAGGGAGGAGATGCTGAGGGCGTGGTTGAGAGTACTCGCCATAGCACGCCCCGAGGGTGCTAGGCACGGGTTTGAGCCGAGCCGGACTGCTCAATGTCTAGCCCTTGGGCTTGCCGGTTGCCTGTGTGTTCCCATCTCTCAGGTCTTTCCAGGAGTCTCAGACTCACCGAGTGTCGTCTTCCTCTCACTCCCGAGCTTTACTTCCGGCGATGAGCAAGTTGCTCAGCTTCCACGCTGTGACAATGGCTGAATAGGGGAGGGTTTGCGAGGATAGCAGCCTTCAAGTGAAGACTTCTCCTTCATGGCCTCGTCTGCGTAGCATATAGTTTTGCTTTGCCTCAGGTGGCTCGGGTATCACATTGTACCGGTGTCAAAGAGATCAGATGAAGTCGTCGTGAGCTCGGTGTGTTTCCTTTCTCTCCCAGTATCATCCATCTGCTCAGTTTGATACAGAGGGATTTGAGATGTTGCTTCTCGTGCCTTTCCCAACGGCCCGATTCACGTATGTTGGTGATGCCATCTCCGAGAACATGCCAGCAGGTTTGGATGAGATTTGTCACGGATTGATCCCATGCGGGAGTTTATTGGGAGATCCTTGACTGCTAACCTTGGAACCGGTTCAGTTGGGAGATCACCAAGGCCAACCTTGGTTGTTGTCTTCAGTTTCTGCCATCACAGCGAGCATTCTGGAACGTCGCCAGGGAAACTGGTCTTTGGGTTTGACCATCCGCTCTATCAGATATGATCCAGAAGAGCGACGACCGAGGTTGAAAGCTCAGATCGAAAGGTACTATCCGCAAAGTTGCGGGAGGGAGTCGACGCCGCCTCCATCGCATCACCGCTCGCCCGGAGATGTTCCCACTTGCGGCTCTACCTGCGATTGACAAGACACATCTGCGACAGCTACATCGCATGAGCACATCGATAACTACATATCATCCCATCCCTCAAAAACACACGAGTCGAAGTTTGCCTCACGTTACTGCGAGCGGAAACGAAACAGCTGCAAGCCACGGTTGGCCAACACCATCTGATCACACCAAGCCCGTCTCAGACCTTGCCGCCACGCCCCATCCAAGTTTGCACAACCCTCACACCTCTTCACAGGGCTGTGCTGTCGCAAACTGGTGATCGCTGTTGCAGAAACCGGGGTGGTTGAGCTCACCTGAGAAAGTAAGTCTACCTACGTCACTTGCTTGTTTGAACCAACGGGCATCCCTCACCGTGCAGGCTCGTCCATCTATGCGGAGCAGCACGCATGCATGTCCATCACTCACGAACCATCACTGGCAAACCATCGCGAGCTAAGCCCTGAGGACGCGCACCGTTCATGCATGCAGGTTCGTCAATCAGGAATAGCAGCAGCAGCAGCAGCAGGAACAGCACAGACTTTGGTAGCAAACTACTAACTCACTTACCCCTATTCCCTTTTCGTCATCCACAAGGCAGCTTAGGCTATTACCACACGCATGACTTCCCTCCCGCGAAGTACGCGTACGCTCACCGGGTTCTGGGTGGGAGGTTTCGAGATTCCGCGAAGCCAAGATCCGCAACCGGGGCGGGGGAAGTGTGGTTTTGCTTTCCTTTTGTGTCTTTTCCTGGGTCGCTTGCTCGCTTGCTTGGCTTTTCCGTTATTTTTGCTGCTGTGGTTTGGTGCTAGGGGTGGAGTTGGTTCTTTTTCTGTCTGCGCAGATCATACACAAGCTGCCGATCCGAGGGTTGGCGTGGTGTGGGTTTGTTACATGTCATGGGATGGTTGAACCAACTGTGGGTTTTGTCGGGCTGGGGACCGGAGAGGAATGCAGAAGGGAAGGGAAGAGAAGAGAAGGAGAAGGGAGGAAGGCCATGATGGAATGGTTCAGTTGTTGGATGTTGGTTGGATGTGGCTGTGGTTGTGGTGTGGTCTGTGGTCTGTGGTCTGTGATCTCCTCAGTGAGCACTCACATGATATGCACCTCGCGGGGTTTCCCCTGACTTCACCCCCTCCATGGCGATAGCATCATCGCTGAGAATGCGCTCCTCAGTGAGGAGACCCCTAATGCGACTGTGACAGTGACGGAGGTGCAGTGTGGGCTTCGCTAGTATCCACGAGGGACCATCTGTCTATCGGGCTTACTTTTGGGATCCCCAGCGTGGCAATAGTACGTCCAATATTGGGTGTGTGTTTGGACGTGTGTAGAAGGGAGGGAGGGAGGGGGTGTGTGAGAGAGGGCGATCTGAGCGGACTGAGCAGAGGGAGAGGTCCGGAGCATCATCGGCGGACCGGCGCATCACCTCGGACTGTGCCCTTTCGCGAGGTTGGATCTTCAATGGCGGCCGAGGTGTTTTCGTGCTGTTCGTTCTCGAGGGTGATGGTGTTGGTGATGGAGAGGCGCCACGCGGGTGATGGCAGCGGCCACGACATGACGGAAGGTGGCATAATCTGGTCAAGTCCATCACCCTGGGCTTTCCGATCGTGGCGTCTCTTTTTATTTTCGTATTTTTATCTCATTTTTATTTCCTTTTCTTTTCGGGGGCTTTTTGTTTGTCCTTTTGACACGGCGATGGCGTTTCAGAGACACTCCAAGAGAGAGCTTCAGCGTGCTGGGGCAAGGGGTAGTCTGCCCCTCCTCAGCGTCGTACCAACAGCGTGTCCTCGCTCTCGAGAAAGACCGAACCCCGCGGCGTGCAGCGCAGCGCAGTGCAGTGCAGTGCAATGGTCGTCCGTGCGCGTGAGGGTGTTCGCTTCCTTCTTGTTTCTTTTCTTTCCAGGATTTTGTCTTCTTTTTTGACCGGTACGGGCGTTGTGATATGACGGGGATATGAGGATTATCATGCCTTATGTCGTTCACCTATCCACTAGGTTTCGCTCCTCGCCACACCGAGTTCAATGCGGGGAAGCAGGCCTTCAGACCCCGGACATTTTGATCGTCTTTTCTGACAAGTTGTTGGAGGGGGTTGGGGTTGGAGAAGGGGGTGAAGGTGGGGGTGTGTGTCGAAAGGCGAAGAAAAGTGTCAATGCGCCGGCTTTCTGCCCCCAAACCCCAAACTCGGGAGACTGAGTCTATTTTCTTGTCGCCCTGCTGCGAAAAAGGGAGCAATAGCAAAAAGAAAAGAAAGAACCGAGCTCGGGACGTGGTCTGGGCTGTCCGGTTTCCGAGACATCGGGTCGGACAGCACAGATTTCGATGGTCTAGACACTAGGTTAGCGTATTGAGGGACACCACACCATCTTTGTTGTTGGTGGTGGCGGATCCAAGATGGACGGAAGCAGTGCGGTCTGTGCCCATGATACCCGTCAGTGGTTTGAGGGTGTGAAGAAAGTGGACGTCACACACCATCTCTCCATCCCGCAGTGGTCCGGGCCCTTCCCATTGTCGCCTGTCCCTTCCAATCGAACTTGTTCGTCTCACGCTTCCTGAAGGACAGGGGTCTGAAGCTGGGCAGCCGAGGGGAAGGTTGGTCATGTGAGTTGCGTCGACACTACGGAGGTAGGTAGACTTAATGTTGGTGGTATCTTGAATAGGGAAGAGTGGGCGTCACTTATGGTGTGCCCCCAATTTGTGTGAAATTATATTGATGTCCATCGGGATACGACTGCGAGGTTCGGCCATGGTGTTGGGGGTCGTCGAACTCAGGGGTACGCATATTGGCTGTTGGAAGGCTTCTGTTGATTTGCTCCCCGAGTCCCTATGGGTGGAGCAAAGACAAGACACTCAAGAAAATACAAGTAGCAGCATTGCAAATCATTCAAGATGGACCTCTAAAATGAGGATCGTCTTGCAGTGCCCGAGACACAACAAATGATGGGTTGTATTGCAGATTGAGTCGTGTTACAGTCCATCTGCCGTGTTTTGTTTCCATGTCGAAGCACACCCACGGGAGTCCATTACGGCTGCGACGATCCCTCTGTGCGTTGTGAGCATCGAGTATTGCAGATCTTTGAATGATATCCAACGTTGTGCGTCCTACTGAAATGTTATCTACATCGTGTATCGAATGGTTCATTCAACCTGGATACGTAAGGTAGGTCGGTAATAGAGAGGGCAGTTGATATCTTCTGCTCAGGGGTAATCTCAACAGGTGTTGAGCCTAGAGCTGTGCGTAACCATCTGAGATTGAACCTTACAGAGGACGGTAATAATATTACGGTGTTGCTGTTGGTATGGAAGTATATGGTAGGTGTTGAATGTCAAGTTGTGTCCTGAGCTTGGTGACAAGTGATCTCTGGCGAGCAAACCTTTGCAGAGCTTTATCCAGCTCAATCATGTTGTCCCTCAAGATAGAAGGGAATTATCATAAACCATTCTAACTAGATAGGGGACCAAACTTGCAAAGTAGAAGATGAACTGCTTTCCGTTTGTTGGAACAGCAGCTCTGTGTAAGATTTCTTTCGATCAACCCCAGGAAAGTCATGGCAAGCTTCTCTCCCAACATCGCAAGACGCGGTGGAAAATCTAGCCCAGGTAGACTGCCTGGCAGGCGAACAGAGATATAGCATTCGATATGTGCGTATGCCGCAGCAGTGCAAAAAATGCCCGACTCGCATTTGCCCCTTCGTAGGTTCGTCTGTCACTTCATATCCAGACATCACTTTCGGTGGCAATGACTCCAGCACCAGCTGAGCCTGCATCAGAGACTCCAGCCAGCAAGAACAAACCCAACCCCCTTTCACGCCCTCTACATAAAGGGGTCGACGAAACAAAAATACTAGCAAAAAAAGTATATTGGACGTTGGACGAGCTGGGAATCGAACCCAGGGCCTTTCGCATACAGGAGTCAACAGGGATGCGAAGCGAACGCTCTACCCCTGAGCTACACGCCCTTTATTGGATGACATCCCTGCGCCTTCTAGCTTCTTCTCAACCCTCACCGCCCCTCCACCACACCTTCACAACCACAACCTCAACCACCACCATGCCCCGCTCCGACGACGCCGAAGCCTTCTTCGCCGCGGTATACCAAGCCGTGCGGGAGATTCCCCATGGGAAAGTTACTACGTATGGACATATCGCGATGCTGGTTGGGACGCGTACGTCATTCATTTCTTAACCCTCATATTGAACGGTGAGGCTAACAGCGGGCCACAGCGCAACGTCCGCGGCAGGTAGGCCTCTGCCTCAAGCACCTCCCTACGGATCCCTCGGCGCGCTACAACCACGATAATGTCCCCTGGCAGCGGGTGATTAATGCCAAAGGGGAGATTTCTCCACGGTGAGACGACCTGAACTCATCGTGGGAGCTTGGGATGGCTAACAGACAACGGGAAGATCCCAGCCATCGGGCTCGCTCAACCAAGCTGCGGCGCTGCAGGCGGAAGGCGTGACTGTCACCAACGGAGCGCTGGGCGAGTTTATGGTGGACTTTGCTGAGTTTGGCTGGTTTCCAGATATCTTGCCGTCGGAAGCTGCGGAGGAAGGGGGCAGAGAGTTGGGTGGTGAAGAGGATCACAGCGAGAATGACGAGCAGACATGATCGAGATCGGGGGTGAGGAAACAAATGCATATCGTAGTCTTATTTGCAGACGGCACGCCCCAAGCGTTGTTGCCATGATGCCAACGATGGACGCTAATTCTACTTCTACTCTAGAGTCTTTTCGAGTCTAGTAGCCCTGATCAAACAACAAAAATACCCGCCCCCAATCCTGCCTTTGTCCTGTCCCGCCTTGATGCTGTTCCGTTCCCGTACCCGCTGGCCCATGGGTTATTCATAGTCCCAACCAGGAAACTAACCGCGAGTTGTTCGTCGACGCTTGGAAACATTTCCCACGGGTGTATCTACCTCGGTCGCAGTATGCTCGTCTACGTCATCGCCTCCGTTATTAACATTATTGCCGCCTTCGTCTCCGGCCTGCGATGCATCCCTTTGCGCAACGCTCGCCTGCCTTGTGCTCGTCCCTGTAGTGGCTCCGGTTCTTCCGCCTCCCGTACGACGATCCTCGGCCGATCGTAGCTCGCTAAGCAGCTTTTCGACCTCGGAGTGCATGGCACGGGTGTCGTTGACGACGCCAAACTCGTCGACCTTATATCCGAGCGGATCGTGGCCATGCGCGCCACCGCCCTCTTGTTCGTCGCCCTGTGCCTCTTCGTCTCTCACGAGGAATGAGGGCCCAGGTCCGTGGCCATGGTCGGGATTGTACATGATGGCGTTGGCGAACATGTGCGCAAATTCACGCTCGAGCTGCCCGCTGTTGATGATACCCTTTGGCGGCATCAAGCCCTCGCTGATGGGGAGCCGGACACTGCTAGTGTTTGGATCCCCCCCGGGCAAGGCCGCAGCCGCTTGAGTCGCTGCCCTGTTCCCGGCATTGATCGCTGCCTTGATGCTTTTGAGGTCTTGCGGCTGTAGAATCACCTTATGGTACCCAGGCGCATCCTTCTCGCGGATCGGGGCCGCAAACATGTTGGCGAAGCGGTGATGTATGATTTGCTCCATCGCTGATCCGCACACCTTGTTGAACTGCCTTGTCCAGAGAACCTCGGTGGGAGCTGCTGCTGGTTGTGCTGCAGAGGTAGACTCGAAGAATTGCCGGTTGCCAACCGGAGTTTGGACCGGAGTCGGGGAGAGCTCTTCGCGTTTCCTTTTGGCATGGCGAGGGGCTTGCTTACGACCGGCAACGCTCTCGTCCGCCGTCGTGTCGCCTGTTTCAGTCAACGGTCGCGGCGTTGTCACCTCATCCTTAATTTTGGTCGTCTCCGGTTCGTTCTCCGGCTGGGAAGGTTCCTCCACGTTGGGTGTTGATGTTGTGGCCGGTTGTGGCGAAACGACTGGCGGGTTGGACACCGGCGCTTCCGTAGCGGGGGGGTTGGGCGCTGGCGGCGCCGTCAAAGGCCCTGCTGCTGGTTTGGGCGGCGAGGTTACGTCGGGCGCTCGCGGAGTGTTGCGCGGCCGGCCCACCTTCCGCTTGGGAGGGGTTCCGGCGGGCTGCTCCAGAGATCGTGCCGGTGATGTCTTCTTTTGCTCCTGCTGCGGCGCTGAAAGCGGGGGTGCGGACAACGGCGAAACCGCTGGCGGAAGCGTCGCGGGCGGTAGTACAGGACTGAGTCTCTCAAAAGCGGGGCTTTCTGGTACTTCTGAACTGAAGGGCATGGGGCCTTGAGTTGGCGTTGAAGGGGTCGTCGTCGATTCCCACTTTGTGCTGCTGCCAGTAACAAGCCTTTGGGTCAGAGTGGCGGCGGGTGTCTGCGGCGCAAAAGCGACCGGCGTAATTCTAGCCGGTAGAGCGGGTGCCGGTGTACCGGGTTGTCGTTGTGGCTGCACCCGGTCCGGAACCGCAGACCGAGGTGGCGGGTAGGGCGAGTTATACCCTCTCTGGGCATCCGGCTGTGGGAAAGCGGGGGATGGAGATGCAGGTTGCGGTCCCAGTTGGGCGTAGGTTGTGGGAGCTTGCAGGGGCTGGTTGGCCGCTCGCGGGGGCGGAGGTTGAGTAACCGGTCCTGGGTGAGGTCTCTGTTGTATCGGAACCACTGGAGGAGGCGGTACAGCCGAGGGCACAACTGGGTGTCCTGGATGTCCTGGGGCGGGTTGCGCATATCCTTGCTGGTAGACAGGAAGACCTGGCCTACCCGGCTGCACATTAGGGGCCAGAAGCGGCTGCCTGCTTGCTGGCGAGGGGCTGAGCTCAACCGGCGGCCTGTTAAGAGCCGGCTGCAACGCAGGAGGATATTGCCCGGTCGGCTGTGGAGACACCAACACTGGCTGGGTCGCTGGTCTCGCTACCTGAGGTTGCAAAGGTCGCGAGGGTGGTTGTGAACCATGGAGTTGAGCTGGCTGTTGATGTGGCAACGGCTGCGGGGGCTGAATAGGCCCTTGGGCTGCCTGATGTTGATTCAAGGGTTGCGTTGGGCGAACCACCGGAGCGCCTGGTTGGTAAGGAGGTTCCCATTTGAGGGTGCCCTGGGCAACTGCTTGAGAGCTCTGCGGGATGGTTGAGGGATGCTGAATGCCAGAAGACGGCGCCACTGGCTGGACTGGCTGGAACGGGGGCGCCCCTTGCGGTAACTGGAGAACCGGTGCTACGCCGCTCGGGGGCCTCGGGGGAGTTGAAGCCTCTTGAACGGGTGGCGGTTGAGGGATGCTTGGCCCCGGCTGCGACAGTGGCGCCGTCTGAGGTTGGCTCAAAGGTGCTGTGGAAACGGGGGGTCCTGTCCCGGTAGTTCCTGGCCGCGCAACATTCTGGGGTGGTAGCGGACGAGGTGACGGACGTGGCGATGCTAGAGGGGCCGGTGTCGAATGTTTCGGTATGGGTGACACGCCGGGAGATGGTCCAACACCATTCGCGGTCGCAGAGCCGTTCTCGAGCGGATGCTCTTCGGCTCCCGAACTCTTCGACGCAGAGCCAGCGTTCCGAACAACCTTCTCCCTCTCCTGGTGTTCAAATTCCGCGATCGACTGTCCCACTTCATCGTATTGCCGCTCGAGAGCCGCTATTTGTTCCAGCGAGTCCTGTATGTAATTGTTGTAGAGCCGCGTATAAAGGCCCTCGATTTTGTCGACGTGGAGCACCGCATCTTCCAATGCAGGTCTCGGTGGCGTCTGAAGCTTGCGTTTTTTGGATGTGGGCGATGAATCGCCTCCATCATGACGTGGTGCAACTTCGCTTTCGCCCTTCAAGTGCTCCCACAGCTTCTCCAGAAACAACTCTTGCAGCGCCTCGGGCGTGAAGCGCGAGGCGTCGAAATCTCCGTTGTCTCCGTCGGGCAGTTTCTCGAGGATCTGGATGGAAATCCTCGCAAATGCCTGGTCGTCAAGGCCATACTTGGCGATTCCGCGGAAGAGCAGGAGTATCTCGAGGGTCGTGTAGGGTATCGTCGTCATGCCCCAGTCTCCGCCTCGCCAGGGACCGCGGGGCCCGTCGTCACGCCTCGGGAGAAGATGTATCGGCGCCACGATCTAGAATGAACGTGTTAGCAAGGCTATCCTCCAGGCTCGGCTGGTCGCAAGCACGCCGTCGTTGCGCGCAAGTCACGCACCGGCAGCCTCAGGCAAGGCCTCTGAGATAAAAGTGGGGATGGCGAAATGTTTCCGGGGCAGCGCGCGCCGTGTCGGACGTGTCGAAGGTATTCGCGGGCGCCGTGCTGGATCGCGCTAATTGATTTTTTTTCTCGTCGAGTCACGTGAGCTAGCGGTTTGCGACGGTTGATTTGATTGCAGCCTGATGGTCGTCGGTGATAAAATGATTGTCTGCGTCAAACAAACAGCCTGGGGATGGTCATTGGCATAGGCAATTTCATGGTGACACGTGAATAATTCCTCTCACAGCAGCCAAATCCGGCAACCCAAAACCTTGATGCACGGACCACGCCGTATCGGGGTTAGGGTTGAACACCGCCTGGGCTGGTTTCCCAATTCCTCTGGGCAGCCAGCTTGATGGATTGCCCATCTCATTCAGCATCGACATTTGGCGAGATTCAAATTGTCACTTGTGTGACCTGGTTTGATGCACTGGGGTTTTTTTTTTCACAACGTTCCGTTCAATCGTCGTTCCGAGTGGAGCCTTGCCCGCCTCTTCAACTTAAGTTGGGGATCCTAATTTGGCGTTGTGGAATCCCGTTCCAAGATCTGGGGCGGATTGGAGCTGTGGATGAACGATGAAAGACCGCCGCCTAGGTATGAGACGGACTCAACTTGGGCCGCTGTGCAGTCATTACGACTATGGAAGATGCGATAGGGGTCGGTGGGCACTGGTTGCTCAGTTTCACGCCGGCAAAGGGTCCATCGTTGAGGCCCGGTATTGAGTTTGGGGTGTCGATGTGGGAGATGCGGGCCGGCCCTCAACGGGGCTCTCCTTGACCGACCTCCCCGCCCGGCTGCGGCCCTTGCTCA